CTCTCTCTCTCTCTCTCTCTCTCTCTCTCTCTCTGTGTGTGTGTGTGTGTGTGTGTGTGTGTGTGTGTAACACTTCTTTTACATAGAGTGGCAAAGAGGAAGATTCTCAACTAACATCTTAACTTAGAAGTCCCCTGCATCCTTTCTTTTTATATATCTGTTTTACACAGCTTTTTAAATGTAAATAAATAATATCTAATGCATGCATTTAGAAATATATCTGCTACTCATTGCTCTCCACTAAGGCTTTGCTCATAAATAAGATATATGCTAAAATTTGATATTGTTGGCTAAGGCAGCAACTGCAATGACTGTCATAAGTTTGCCAACTAAGAGCACCATTATCAAGGGGTTTTTCTGGAAATTCTGTGACTTGTCTCAATTTTGCACAATTACATCCTTTGTAACAAGTAGGAAGTAAAAAGAAAGAAAGGTTTGGCTAGGTAGTAGAGGAAATTGTTTTAAATCCTCTTTGAGAACCACATAAACCAATTACATTAAGAAAAACTTGTAGTTTGGTGGCATTTTAACATGGTTTAGTAAGAGTCTACATAAAACCATGAATGCTTTTGATGTAAAAATTAGGTTAATAATTTAGTCTTTCTAAAAGAGAATAATAAACATATGGAAAGCATTATAAAGAAAGGCACACTAGCTAGAGGTCTATTAAATTTAAGGAAAAAGCATGTAGTATTTCTTCATGAGAAATGCTGGGATTTCTGTCTTTTCTCTATGCCAGCAATTAACATGTGACTGTTATTTGTAGCATTGGATAGTATTTGTTTTACTCTGCTTTACCCAATTATAAAGGCTCAAAACATTTTAATGGAGAAAAATGGGCAATTGTTTTATATTAAGTAGATTAACCAATTTGTTAAACTGGTGTTTTATTTAGGGACTTGGGGAATATGAAACAGGGTAAAACTCAGTTTTTACATAAAGTTGGAGACACATATATAGGGCCATGTATGTTTCTTCCATTACTAAATGGTTGTACATTTTATCACCTCATTTTCTTGCTCTATTGCTTTTGAGTAGTTATAAATATTCCACATTTACATCTATAATCAGAATAATTTCACTACATTAAAAATATCTGATAATTATGAATTATTGATGTCCACATACCCATGTGGTTCTGTGAGTTGCATGTTTAAGTAATTAAAAGCACAATAAAACCTGAAAGTCCAAGGAAGGTTCCTCTACTAGTTGATCAGATGTGCTTTCCAGACTGAGGGGGACATTCTGTTTATAGCTCCCATTTGTTTCCTACCACTATAGCCAAGCTTCTACTTATTACATGTCTCCTTGCCTTAATAGTAACTTCTAGTTTGGAACACTGCAAACTGTTTCTCCACCCCTGAATTAAAGCAAATGATATCCACTCCACATTCACCACAAATTTTACTAGAAACCACTTCAAAGATTCCATTAAAATGAACCATGGCCATTGCTTCCTGAAGCCAAGGTTAGCTGTGTTCCTAATGAAACTGGACTCTCTCATTTCCCCTACATTGAAACATTAAAATTTTTCCCATGATTTGTGTTTCTTGTTATCTAAATTTAAACCTGCTTGTTTTATTGTTGTTACTGCCATTTCTATTAAAAGGTGGGGTTAGAAATGGTCTCTGGTGTGCTTTTCATTATGTTAAAGACCAGCACCTACATGTGTGTACGTTGACATCCCAATGCCACACCCATCTTTCTTCAATGAGTTTAAAGTTAGAAAAGACTTAATGATTGTCTGAATTGTGTATACTTTCCCAAAAGTGGGAGTGTATGTCTTCCTTCAGTTATCAATACCTTATTAATAACTATATGCAACCAAAACCAAAATGACACACAAAAAGATACTTCAATAATTTTGAAACATTAGTTTCCTTTGCACACCTCTGCTTTTGACCATTTTATCAAATGTTCATTTATGCACAACATATTTCCCAATATACAAATTGCTTTGACACTTTTTAATCTGTGTGTTTATACTGAAACTATAAAGGTTGCTCTTGGATACTATGGAACTGGAAGAATACTACTCCTTTCCTGGGCCATCTTGCCTCAATCCTGACTTCTGCCTCCCATATTTACATAGAGCTGGTATATATTAGGAAGGATACAACAGAATATATAACCATGGGTTCTAAGAGCTTTTACTAACTATAAAAAAAGAGCTGCTAAAGACTATAAGATAAACACACAGACACACACACACACACACACACACACAGAGAGAGAGAGAGAGAGAGAGAGAGAGAGAGGGAGGGGGGCAGGGGCGAGAG